TAGAATATTTAGGACATATCGTAGGAAGCAATGGTATTAAACCAGATTCTAAAAAGTTACAAACTATGAAAAATCTACCTATACCTAAAACACCAAAAGAAGTTAGAATGGCTTTAAGATTATTTTCTTATTACAGGCGTTTTATTTAAAACTTTGCAAAAATCACAGGACCTTTACACAATTTAACCAAAAAGAACAAAGAATGGAATTGGACTAATCAACATCAAGATTCGTTTAACACTTTAAAACAAAAATTAATGGAAGCTCCTGTTCTAGCACAACCTAACCTTAGAAAAGTTTTTATATTACAAACAGACGCTTCTGATGAAGAATTAGGTGTCGTTCTTACTTAAAAGGATGATCAAGATGCCGAACATCCAATCGCTTTTGCTAGTAGAAAACTATCTGACTTAGAATTAAAATATACTACTATAGAAAAAGAATGTTTAGCTATACGATAGGCCATTGAACACTTCGATTATTATTTATACTACAAACCCTTCGAAGTAATTACTGACTATTCAGCCCTTAGATGGTTATTGACTACTAAACATCTTAAAGGACGTATAGCAAGATGGGCCTTATTCTTATAAGGATACAATTTTTCAATTAAACACAGAGCAGGCAACAAGCACCAAAACGCTGATGTCTTTTCAAGATTAGTACCTGTCAATATAATTAAAAACTATGATTTAGATGAAGACACGACCAATAACCAAAAATGGATTCAAGTACATTTCTCAGCCCTTAATGTACCAGGATGTCAAACCAAATGGCAATGGAACGGATTAGTTAATAATTGTAATTATCGAAGAAATACTTACTTATGTGAAGAAACTGACCACCATTTCCATTGGTATTGCAAAATTTGTTTTCACTGTGTGAACCCTATGGCAACTATATTCCAACTCTAACTGAAAATACCTTATGTGAATGTAATAAAGAATATCAAGAATTCTCTGATTATATTAATAAAGAAAGTTATTCGCTCTCAGATTCATATGGAAAAAATATGTACCAATGTTCACATAATGATGGTGATTCTGAATCAAACTATAGTTCAGAAGAAAATAGATCTCTTATTGATGGAAAAGGATACAATTGGAGACAGGACATACATGATATTTACTTACAAGCCGCTGAATTTAAACAAACTATTGTCAAACAAATGAAAAATAATGCCCTAGTTAAAACTAGACAAGATTACTCTGTCAATTGTACTCTCTGTGGAAAAATTATTACAACTGAACTAGAACATAATTGTATCGTTGGATATGAATTAGGATAAATTCATCCTGAAATGAAACCTGAAGCCCTAGTTAACGAAGTATTCTGGGAAATACCAGAAGCAGTATAACAGCAGGATAAAGCTCATCGGAAAGCACATTACTTTCAGAATGAAGACGAATGGACTCAAGAAGAATTAGACGAATTATTTGATAATTATGAACCCCTTATCACCCCTGTTTTTAATCAAACTACAACCCCTGACTTAGATTTTTAATTATATTTTATCATATCGCATATTATTTTTAAAATTATTATTATTTCATA